ACAGCCTACAAAATACAGAATTAATGAAATTACATACTAAATCCCTTTGTTAGTGTAAGATATCAAACATGGATAAATCAATACATATAGGTCTCCACTTATGGAAAAATGTTATCTCCCCTGGAAAACAGGTGGGGGCAGGAGACGAAGGCTTGAGGAGCTAGATGGAAACATTCAATGAATTCAGCCTGTCCTGAGGTAGCAATGTGGATGCTATATCGCTATACACACACACACACACACACACACACACCCCTCCATCCTTAGTGGCAGCCTCTGAATCTGTGTTGATTTACCCCTTGGCTCTGGAAATGGTTATTCATCCGAGCATTAAAGGTGATCACAGCTGTGAGGTGAACACTCACAAGCACTTTAAATTAAAACCCATTTAACTCTAGCCACATTTGCCTTCTCATTCTTCAGCTAAGAGAACCTGTTTCCATGATGTTTGATTGCCCTGCCTTTCTGCATTTGCAATACTGATGTGTCTAAGCAATTTTTAATTACCCTTTTAATATATTATTTTATAATCAGATTTTTAAAGAATATGAACCTTAATTTTTTTCCTGTAAAACATTATCCGTTATTAGGCGACACAGCCTCCATGTCCTTGCAATAATAATCACCCTTGACTTGACATTAGCCACTCCTCTCTACTGTTTTCTTTACTATATTGGAAAAGTAACCATAAAGTGGTTGTCGTTGCCTGTATTTTTAATTACTTTGTTGTCTCTTTGCTTTTATGAGTCAACCAGACAACTTGTTCAATAGCCCTATGACTAATTTAGTGCCTTTGTTTCTACAAACAGCTGCACCAAAGAGCACCTAAATAAGATTGTTTCAGTGATGCTTTAATGTGCTGCATTTGAAGTCTTTACTCCTTTGCTGCAAACTGTGCTCACTGCTTAGCTTTGACCACAACTGAGTAAGATCACAGTGGGATTCATTCCTCTTCTTATTAGAAGTTTGTTCACCTCAAAATTGTTACAGTCAGCTAGACCATCTCTGCTTGCAAGGGTTCCAGCAAGAGCAGGTATGTAATGCTATATATTAGGCACATTCAGGGAATCCATGGTTCCTTTGAGCAATACTAGCTGTGAGCTATGTAGCAGTTACCCTCCATTTCATGAGGTCTATGATTTGGTTTTCTGTTGGTTTAGCCACCCTACAAGCCGAAGGTGGGTGGGGGCTGGAGGTGAAATGCGTGCAGTGCTCCTGGCAGGTGCTTTGCCACTCAGCTCAGAGGTGAATTTCTGTCCATACAGCTCAGTAATTCTTAAAATTGTGTGTCTGGTGAAAAGACAATTTGGCTTGCCTCTGGCACTCAGAGACAGGTGTGGTGACACAAAACCGGGCTATCAGATGGTCATACTTCCTGGGACCTTTTCTCCTGAATTTTGTTGCAGACTTTCCTCTCACCACAGCCTTCTCAAGCACAAGAAAGCTAGTATTTCCTGTTCAACAATTCTATTTAATGATTTAACTTGAGCGTGTACTCCAAGTACTAAGTATAAATTAATAAATCCTGCTGCAGAAAATTATCTTTCTTCTTGGGCTAACTCTCAGTCAGACATTTTTAAACTCCAGACCATCTATTCCCTCTCACTCCTTCTTGGAGGTGAAAAACAGTAACAGTGCTCGTGCTGGTATGTCAGAATAGCAAAAGCTACTTTGATGCTGAATTTGTTATACATGTGTTTGCATATTCTTGTGGCTGAAGAGGTACAGAAGGTCTCTTCTAGCTCAAACAGAGACAAACTGAGAATAACTACGAGGAAGAAAACAATAACAGTAAAAAGGAACAAAACCCACACACTTTCCTCTGAAGATTAAACAGATTAACTACAGGTAAGAAAGAACCAGACAAGAACTAGAACTCCCACACTGATATGTTAGACTCAGTATTTCTTATGTGAGTGGATACCACAAAAGATGAAAGAGACAGAGCATTACAGTGTCAGCTCAACTGAACAAGCAACCAATATTTGATAGGAGCTCACAGGGTGCTAATAAGTTTCATAAACCCAGAATGCAAGTGAGTGTGATAAAATAGAATAAAGAACAGAAAAAAGATTAGGAGGGTCATAATAAAGTCAAATAATTGTTTTTAGAAACAGCTAAAGCATGTCCTCCTAAGATATGGAGGGGCTGAAGGTGGAGAAAGGGTGGTTTGGACTTTTCTGATAATAGACATGTATGTATTAGTACAAAAAGACATACATTCATCTGATAGAGATTTCCTTTGTACTCAGCCATCATTATTTGGATCACATCTCATGGGAAGCAGTAGGCCCTGAAAGAGATCCATAAGAAAGTATGAGTTTGGACCCTATTCATTGACTGAGGAGGGCTGAGCTCTGGGAAGGGCCAAACAGGGTAAAAAAATCAGAGAACTTTCCTGGGAGTGGGAGAGAGACAGGTGACCGGAAAGAAAAGTGTCTGGTTACAAAGAAAACACAGGAAAGCAATGGAAATTTGAAATAGAAACAAGGTTGAGGAGAAAGAATAAAACCATTCCAAAGCCTTGCTCATTTTCCTATCTGAACTGCTAAGTGAATGTTCAGCTGTAGCTTATTTACTCTGAATATAAAACCAGAGAAGATACAAGGAAACCCAGGTACCAGGAGGAGAACTATCTATATGGGAAGAGGGTCAGGGCAGATGTGTTTCATATTTTGTCCCACCCAGAGGAAAGTGCTGACTCAGATCGAGATTCTGACTCAGTATTTCCCAAGATCCCTGCCACATCACTGTGTTGCGCTTTCAGAAATGCCCCTCAGAGAAATACATACAAGCACTCTGCAGTGGAAATTATAGATCACACTCACAAATAAGTAAAAAAGTAGTCTATCCAACATTAAAAGCATCCTCTTGAAAATTCTGCTTCTCTGTTGTCAGTCATCTTCTCACAAGTTCAGAAAGTTTATCAGTAAAGCCCCTTTAAAACAGAAAATGGCCAAGCAAAATTGAGAATCTGTGAATTGATGCTGTACATGGTCTAAGAAAATCTAAAAAATGTGAAATGAGTGCTATATGGATTTAAAAGTGTGCCCGGAGCTATTAAAAATTGTGGAAGAAGGACAGACCTTCAGATTAGAGCTATTCCTTAAGTTTAGTCGGAGTCTAGAGACCAGATGTCTCTTCTCATGTCCTCCAAAAGTGCCTCTGGTTTGAAACGGAGCTTTTAGTGAGTGGCTTCCATGAGTAGTCAAACACCATTTTTGTAAAAACTGCAAATGGAATTATATTTGCGGTTGTAACTTCTTTTTTTTAAGGTTTGTTTGTTTGTTTATTTGTTTGTTTTAATGGCATGTGACATGCTTATTGGGGAGCAACTTCTATCACTGGAGAGAAACTACTTAGCTGAAGTGACTTTTACTCTTCACCTAAGACTTTGTTTTTCTCTGTGCAGGTTAAAAGATACCTATTTTGTCCATCTGTGTGTAGCTTATTTTGGAGATAGAGGCACAAATGCATGAGAATTTCTTCTTTTAATTGCTATTCTATCCCTACAGTGTCTTCATGTAGCATTTGTGCAGTTGGTCTACACATAATTTTAGAACTCATAAGAACTCTCTGAAAATGAAGAGCTAGCTTACTAAGATCAGTTCAAACTTTTAAAATGAATAATTTTTTCCATTTATATCCTTGCAACTAGCCACCTGTGATAAACACCATCTGAAAAACACATCATTTTTGCAGCATTCAATAAGCAAATGATTTTTACAAAGTCTATGGCAAAAAAAACCCAGTTTTTAGACAGGCAACATGAAGCTCACCAGCTGGACTTTCATCAGGACTCTCATCACTGTGTGTTTGCTTCAGATAAAAAATCTCAACAATTTTTTATTCATTCATGATTTTGATTAAACTGCTCTGTTAATTTACAAAGAGAACAAGCACATGAATGACATAGGGTAGTTGACAGCATTTTATGTATTTTCTACAAATCTCTGAAAAGTACTGTATGTATTTTAAATTAATAGTTTACTGGTATTTGATGTAATTTGAGAATTTTGTCATTTATCAATAAATTATGACCTTTCTATAAATTCCCAGCCATTTTATTCCAAATGTTCTGCTGGGCTAAATGTGGGAAAGGACTTCAGCGCATTTATTTGTAATCAAAACCAAAACAGTTTAGCTTTACAGTGAGTAATCAAATCTTTCTATCATTGAGTGAAAGGTGTTCCCTGAGTATCTGGAGTGACCAAAAGAGAAGCATGGTTCAGGAACCAAAAGCCTGTAAGGCTGGACTATCCAAATTAAGTAGAGCCTATGGTGTCTGGAGGGTTTCTGATGATGTGAAGTAACTCACATTCTTCATATATCCCAAGGTTGCATATCAGGTTCAAATGTGAAGGAATTTTGAGACCATTTAGGGAAGATAAGAATATTCTCAGCAAATAATGTGAACAGTGGTAGTTGTATTTTATACAAATTCATGAAAGTGCAGGCTCTATTCTAAATTCTCAACATTTTCTATGCTTTTTCATTTGTTAGAGTCATTTGTCTGGGCACACCACTCAAGATATGAATTATTTTTTTTTAAAGCACTTTATATTGATATCCAGAATCAAGTTTCCCAATTCAATTCACTTTTAAATCAAAAGCAACCTTTCCATTGACTTTTGTAAATTTTTTAATCAATCAACCTTTAACAAAAACCTCAAGCAGCACCAGCTGCACAAGGAATTATAAACTGCAATAAAGAACTGCACATGGTTATTGCAACAAATTGGGTAAGACTGAGTTCTTTAGCATTTGTTTAGCCTGGTAGCCAAATTTTCAGTGTAGGTATTTCAAACTCAATTTAGCATCATGGTTCACTGAAATAGCGTAGTCATGTAAATACAGTTCAGGTGGCGAGGAAATAAATTTTAGTTGATTGAACAGCATTATTTGCATAATGTTTCCGTTCAATGGTCCTTCTAAAGCTGAAGCTAAAATGGAAAGTCTAAATTTGTTCTTGTAAGAACATAAATCATTGACATCTACAGTTTTTAAGGATGCAACCAGAAATCTGTGGTGGAGGACACAGGATGATAACGCAGGGAGACACGAAGTGGACTGAGGAGAGTTGTGCATGCCCGGGAGGGAGAGCTGCCAGTGAGCAACATCTGTTGTTTGACCTTCAGGAGCCTATGAGAAAGGTGGGAGGAAGGGGGGGGGGGAGCGGAATTTCCTTACCTCTAGTGACATTAACGGTCTGAGGATAAAATAAAATTGTGAATTGTGGAATGACTTTCCTTCGGTGTCATTGGCTTTGGGTTTACTGTATATGACGACACACTTCTCAAGAATAGAAGTGGTTATGCATATAGATATATTTTATTAAATCTTATTTGATAACATAAATCCAATCTGTGAAGAAGTACTGAGTGTCACTTATTCCTGTTAAACTCACAATCCTGAGTTGACTTAGAGACCAGGTTTATCTGACTGGTGCCTTTCTGTTTTGTAAGGTCAAGGTCATCTCTGACCAGTGATTTAGGGGGAAATCTCACAAATTACACATTTGCTTGAGAGGTAGCAGTGAGCATGGAGTGATGCAGGAGGTTCCTTTTCTCTTTGTGTGACAGGAAATGGAGCCCTCTTTGGTTTTAGTTTCCCTCTGGATAATGTGACCACCATACAGACATAACTGATTTTGCCATGGATCAAGGGATTACTCTGTTTATTTCTGCAGGTAACTTTTTGGCATACATCTTCCTTATTGCTTGTTAGGAAGACTTTACTTACTGTGGGTGGACACTTTGGTAAGAAAACAGTGAAAGAAGAAGCCGGAAGACAGTTGGCCTTCTTTTGCTATCTTGCATCAGGGCCAACTGCTACGTAATACACCCAGAAGTCATATTTGTTGCTGTTGCTAGGCCATCGTGCTGCTCCTCACCTACTTCAGCAGCCTCCTGAATCCCACGCATTGCAGAAGTTGCTGTTGTCACTTCTATGCCCCCCACAAGACAACAGAGAGGTGAGAGGTTTTGTATTATTTGCTATTTTGGGCTCAAAATCCTGCACTTGTCTGCCAGGTTTAGATTTTTCCACCTCCAGACCTTTGTAGACTTTTTTATTATTCCGGATTCCCATTGACAAAAAATAATCCCATGGTCACTCCTGGACTAGTGGAGGAAGATAATGGCAAGGACAGGTTTAAGCTGACAACCTTCACCCTGGAGTACTGCAGGACTCAAGGGCAAAACAGACAAAATAGAGACTTCGAGGGGTGCACCATACCACCTGCTCTTGAGTTTGCCCCTACACGAGGGATGCACAAAGTGGGCTTACTGGCTCTTAATTTTCTAAAAGGCCTCAGAGGAACCCCAGAAAACTGCAAACCAGTAATGCTGACATCCCTACCACACAATTCCCAGACAGATTGAGCCCATGGATAAATGTGGTGCAAAAGAAAATAATAAATATGGCATTTGTGACAGGATATACCACACTTTTTTGTTACACAAAAGTTTACTGAAGAGTCAATGAATACAGACAAGGGGGAGCCAAAACACTACCATGTCTTTGAAGCTTCAAAAGAGTCTCTGATGAGTCTCACTGCAAAGCTACAAAAGAAGTTAAGCTATTACATTATCAGGAATTCCTCACATAAATATGCAACTGGTTAAAATATAAGAAAAAAAGAGCAGTTAATAGTTTTTGCAGTTAAGTGGGTTCAGTCATGAAAGGGCTTGCCTGTGGCCTGTGCTATTGGTCATGCATTGGAATAGGCTACACAGGATGGTGGGATCACCATCCTTGGAACCTTTCCAAAGGCGTGTGGATGTGGCACTTGGGGATATGGTTTAGGGGTGAACACAGTGGTGGTGGGTTAACATGTCTTTTCTGTGATTTAAAATGTAGACATCAGCAATTTGAGAAAAAGGGAAAGCTACGAAATAATTAAGGTTGCTGAAGTACTAAGTTAATATTATTCATATTCACAATAAAGTTTGCTGATATTATATATGAGCTATTAATATTCATAACTAAGTTTACTGATGTACTAAGTTATGCAGGATACAGAGAAGAGATCCAGCTGCAAAGAACTATTTAAGGACTTCAAAATATAGAGTGACAAGGTGACAAAATGGCAGATTAAAATCAGTACTGATAATATGGAGGAATAGAGAGTAAGGACAGAATCAATTTGCTGCACAAGTGATGCGTAAAACACAGTGATATGCTCAGACAATTCTGTCTTTCCTTTTGAATTTTCCCCTTTCTAGTTTTAACTACTAAGTAGGAGATAATATCTTTTCACTTCCTAGTATGTGCATTTATTAACCCTCTCAGATTGTGTAGCTCGAAAATATTGTGCTGACCTTCAGCAAAAAATGTCCAAAGCCTCTGCTATGTTTTTCCTTGTAAATATTTATGGTGGCCATTAAAATTCTTTTCACACTTAAATTCAGCTTAGCTGCAAGTGCCTTCCTCACTTGGATATAGTGAGGAATGGTACACAAAATGAGATCCAGGACCCTGGTGAAAGTGAGAGAAGAGATGACAAGTTTTCATGTTACAAGTGATTTGCCTAATTTGTATGGTGTACAACTGTATATCATACAGAAAAGGTATGGGATGGGAGGGAAGGGGAGGGCAAAGGATGGGGAAGGGATAGGATGGGGTGGGGTGGGATGGGATGGGGACGGGGGAGGGGATGGGGATGGGATGGGAAAGGGACAGGATAGGATGGGGAGGCAAGGGGAGGATGGGAGGGGAGGGAAGGGGAGGGGAAGCAAGGAGAGGGGAGGGGATGGAAAAATGTGGTCTTGTGGAGGTTGATTTTTATGATATTCTTCTCTAGCACTGTTATCACAGTAATGGGGCAAAGTGAGAAATGTTCAGCAGTTAAGCATCCTGTAGAAATAGGTTGCACAGACTTACACTGGGTAGAGAGAAGTCAGGTCAATATAAGAAACTAATTATTTAGATTTCTTTGAATGATTGGTTGACTGGGGCAGCACTGGTGAATCTGCACTGTCTGGTGTCAGGTTTAACACGAAAGGTTTAGAGATGCTTAAAAAAAATTTCAGTTGGAAATAAGGATTCTTTGGAGGAAAAGAAGAAAATATCCAACCAATCAACTAAACAAACAAAAAAAAACCCCAAACCAAAAAACTACTGAAATGAGAGTGTACAAACACATTTTGTCAGCAGTGCCAGCTGCCAGTCCACCTCTGCACTGCTCATTCCTTCCCTACTTCTCTGCTACCAAGCACTAGCATGAGAGGAAGCTGGGAAATTGTGTGACTGAGCAATAAACTCCCCCCCAAAACAGTTGTTGTTTTGAGCCAGATTTAATAACATCAGGAATGCATGGGACAGCAGAGCACAGAAAATGGCACAAGCTTGGGTACAAACAGCTGAGGCAGGATGGATTGGGAAATGTTATTTTTATTTCTTCTGGATGTATAGCAAATACCTTACTTGTTCTTCCACGGACCCCTTTGGCAAGGTGTGGAAGAGCTGTAGACTTTTCATTTTATAGCCTAATAAAGTAGTTCCTAACCAGTTCTGACTTTAAATTTAAAAAATAGAGGATTAATTTACTTAGGAGTAAACCTGTTAGGTTTTTCATTTTTCTCCCTTCCCTTCCCTTCCCTTCCCTTCCCTTCCCTTCCCTTCCCTTCCCTTCCCTTCCCTT